TCAATCACCTTTCGTCCATCAGTGGATTCGCTCTGCCATCCGTGAGTCACAACAACCAACCTCTCCTATAGGTTTTCTTTTTTTGAAACTTCCGCCACCGCCTTGTGCGGTACTACTGGTATGTGTTTTTTTTACTTGTTGTGTTTTCTTGGTTTTATTTTTGTACTTGTTGTGTGTTGTTGTATTTGTTGTTTTTCCCCAATACCGATAGCTTGGGTTTGTTAGCTCTAAAGGCGGCTGGGCGCTGTCGGGCGGGTTCACGGCTGCCGGCCTGGGCGGTGTCTCGGTGGTGTCTCGGTGGTGTCTCGGTGGTGTCTTGGTGGTATATTGGTTGTGTCTCGGTGGTGTCTTGGTGGTGTCTCGATGGTGTCTCGGTGGTGTCTCGGTGGTGTCTCCGCGGTGTCTCGGTGGTGTCTCCGTGGTGTCTCCGCGGTGTCTCCGTGGTGTCTTGGTGGTGTCTCGGTGGTGTCTCGGTGATGTCTCGGTGGTGGCTCGGTCCGGTGGTGTCTCCGTGGTGTGTCGGTGGTGTCTCGGTGGTGTATTGAAATTGGTAGTCTCCCTGTGGTCTCTTGCTAGTTTCTTGCTGGTCTCTTGTTGGTCTCTTGCTGTTTTTTTGCTGGTCTCTTGTTGGTCTCTTGCTGGTTTCTTGCTGGTCTCTTGTTGGTCTCTTGCTGTTCTCTTGCTGGTCTCTTGCTGGTCTCTTGCTGGTTTCTTGCTGGTCTCTTTCTTGCGTCTCTTGCTGTTTTCTTGCTGCTTTCTTGCTGGTTTTTCCCCAATAGTTCGGTAGTGTCTCAGTGGTGTCTTGGTAATGTTTGTGGAGGTGGTGTCTTGGTGATGTCTTGGTGGTGCCGTGATGGCAATCAGGATTGGCAATTTCCTTGGCAATCTTGATGTCTTGGTGGTGTCTCTGTGGTGTTTTGGTGGTGTCTCAGTGATGTCTCAGTGATGTCTTGGTAGTCTCTCGGTGGCGTCTGGAAGGTGTCTGCATGGCGTTGTGCTCTTGTGATGGTGTTCTGAAAGGTGTAAAATCACAGCGCAATTTTCAGATATGATTCCAAATCATGCAAAGATGTTAGCTTCGCGCTGCTGCATGGCAAAGTTCCACGCCATGAATTGATGTTGCATAATGCCATGCAGTGCACTGGTCCTAGCTGCAAATGCTGCAAATATGGAGGAATTTGCGCAAATATTTTGCGGCCTAGAGATTCTAACACCGCATGACCAAAATATTGCACACAGATGCTTTTACACAGAGGAATGCTTATACACAGGGATGCTTTTATACACGGGTGCTTTTACACAGAGATGCTTTTCACAAAGATATGCTTTTACACACAGACTTTTACACATACAGATGCTTTTACACGGAGATGCTTTTACGCGCAGCTACCTTTACGCACAGGTGCTTCACACAGGGACGCTTTTATACAGAGGAGCTTTTACACACATGCGCTTTTACGCATCCTTTACACAGAGAAGTTTTTACACATACTTTTACGCGGAGATGTTTTTACACACAAATACATGTATACAGAGGCGTTTTTTACATACAGATATCCCACAGATACTTTTACAAAGAGGTGTTTTGCACGGATACTTTTACACAGAGATGCTTTTACACACAGGCGCTTTTAGACTAGGACGCTTCTAGGCAGAGGAACTTTTGCATGGGTGAGGCTGGACACTGATTTACGGGAGGATTGAAGCCATTTTGGACTCAGGCTGCCATCGAATCCCACCTGTATGTTTACACACAAACCAGGCTTTTGCAGGGAGATGCTTTTGCACACAGGTGCTCTTACACAGGGAGGGGCCTTCGCACAGGGATGGTTTAAAACGAGACATAGTTTTACAAAGGAATGCTTCTGCACGCAGGTGCTCTTACACAGAGATGCTTTCAACACAGAGATGCCTTTACACACAGGTGCTTTAGGACGCAAATACTTTTACACAGAGATGATTTTGCAAAGGGAAACTTTTAGACGCAGGCACGTTTACACACAGGTGCCTTCACACAGAGATGTTTTTACACAGTTGTTTTTACACACTAATGCGCAGTGCTGTTACATACAAGTTCTTTTGCGCAGAGATTCTTTTACACGCAAGTACTTTTACACAGACATACTTTGACACACACTGGCAGGTCTTTTACACACAAATACTCTTGCACGGTGAGTTTTTTAGATACAGGTGCTTTCTCACACATGCACACACGCATGCTTTTTCACAGGGATGTCTTTATCCGAGCATGCCTCTACACAGAGGTATTTTCACACAAAGGTACTTTTATGCAGAGATTTTCTTGCACGGAGATGCTTTCACACACACGGACACGCTTTTACACACATATACTTGTACACACCAATTCTGCGCGAAAGAGTTCAGCAAGCAGGTGCAAAACCAGAATTTCACCTTTTGATCTAGGAGCATTTTGTGCTAAAGGGTTTTGCGAGCGCAAGCAACATGTCAATTTCACCGTTTTCTTCCATCGAACCGTAATTTCACCGCAGTTCTGACGATCAAAACACTGAAGGGCTACGCAAAATTGCATTTTCGGCAGTTTTCGAGGATCGAGACGCATTTCGTGGGAAAGGGTTGGCCCGGCTCAAACCCACATTGCAACTTTACCTCAGTTTTTGAGGATCGGCATTTCGTTCGAGAGGGTTGCGTTTCGTGGACATCAATCCACGCTGCCCTGCAGCCCTCAGAGAAAATTGAGTTTTTTTTTGAAGTTGTAGGTGCCTTTGCGAAGTTGATTTCCACCTGCACATTTGCATCTGCCACTTTACACTTGCATAAATCAACTTGTCGGCGTTTTGTTTTAGAAGTTGACCCCCACCTGCGCACATATATATATATACATATATATATATACATATATATATATAGATAGATAGATAGATAGATAGTTATACTTGCCGCACTGCACCTGCATATACTCATTTGGTGGTAGTTGTTAAACAAAAATCGATGTACCTGCATCTATGCACCTGCACCTAAACACTTGCGTCAGTAAGATATATTGAAATTTACATACCTGCGCGCGCACCTGTGAATCTCATTTTGTAGATGCACAAGTTGAAACTTGCCAAACACGAAAAGTGACGATGTTGTTGTTGTTGTTGTTGTCGTTGTGGCTGTTGTTGTTGTTGTTGTTGTCGTTGTTGTCGTTGTTGTCGTTGTTGTCGTTGTCGTTGTCGTTGTCGTTGTCGTTGTCGTCGTCGTCGTCGTCGTCGTTGTTGTTGTTGTTGTTGTCGTTGTCGTTGCGGTTGTGGTTGTGGTTCTGGTTGTGGTTCTGGTTGTTGTTGTGGTTGTTGTTGTTGTTGTTGCTGTTGTTGTTGTTGTTGTCGTGGTGGTGGGTGTTGTGGTGGTGGTTGTGGCTGTAGTTGTCATCATTGTCGTCGTCCTCCTCGTCGTCGTCGTCGTTGCTGTTGCTGCGGTTGCTGTTATGGTTCAGTCACTTCTTCAATTTTTCACACACTCAAACAAACAATGCGTCAACCAATCAGTCACAAAGTCAAAATCAGTGAGACAACAGTCAACCAATCAATCAACCAGCGAACAATCAATCAATTGATCAATCGATCAATCAGTCAATCAATCAATCAATCAATCAATCCTCCTCTCACATGCCCACTCAGCAACCAGCCAACCAAACAAACAAGGAAGGGATGGAACTAACCACATTAATTTCTTCTAGAGTCATCCTGGTTTCAAATTTGTTTGCAATTTTGTTCACTGGCTTGCCTCCGAACCAATCATACTTTTTCTGATCGAAGTCATGAAAACTCTGCGAATTCATTGGATTTGCTGTTTTTTTTGATAGGCATGATTTAGCATCGCCCCGAAAACTGGACAGGCGAGTGCGGAGCGACTCCGTGTCAAATATGAACACAGACGTCAAGCGAGGCGGAAAACCCGGAATATATAATTGTGCGGGAAGCGCGGTGCGAGAGACGGCGATGACCGGCGAGAGGGAAACTGGTCAGCTAGTTTGGAAAGGCTGATCTGCAATTTCGTGTTAGAAAGTTTTCGACAAAAACTCAGATAAAAACTGGTTTTTCTTTTGTTTGCTGGTGAGTTGAAAGAGGTTGGTTTCGAGCAGAAAATCCACCCGAAACTTTGCCGCACAGTTGTATGGAGTTCTGTAGGGCTCCAGCTTTCCTTTGGTGAACTTACTTAGCTGGAATCTTTCAGACTCAGAGTATTGTGGAAGTTGGGTCTGTTGGATCACTGGCGTACTTTCCCATGCGTCGAGAGCACGGGCAATGGCGCTGGCATTAACAGCTGACATCCCGTGAGAGTTCTCCGCAGTGGGCCTTCCTCAGATCCCGCGCTGGGCGTGACGCCAATCTGGGTGAGGGTCAAAAAACCATCAGAAGAACCATCCGAATCAAGGATGATGAACTTCGAGCCAAATAAACCAGCTATCAATTGCTGTGAAAACCAGCGCATTGGGTTTTGACACCTCCCCATTATTTTTCAAGGACCCGTGGCAGCATCTGGATCATCTGGATGATGAGGCACAGAGCGTCATGGGACAATGAATCTGAAATTTGCAGAGGCTTGGTGATGCCCTTCCAATCCCTTTCCCTCTTCATGTAAATCACGGTTCATGAACCATGGTGGATGTAGGGGATGAAATCACATGGGACCACAGAATGGAGGTGTTTAATGTTGTGTGGATGGGATAAGAAGGGCACCTTCAGGCAGGTTCCATATGTTCCATAGCCAGTCGATGGTCTTGGAGATTTGCGTTGGCAACTCCACGACTAGTGCGACCTGTTACATTGAACAGAAGTGTGCGATGACTCGCGTGTGGCAAGTTCCCAGCTAACACGTCCGACCCAGAAAAAATGGCGCAGCAAAGTGGGCTTCTTGGAACTTCTTGTCAGATGTTGCAAAGATGGTGCTGCTGTGGACGCCACTATAATTGTGCCCCTTGTGCCCCTTGTGCCCCTTGCGCCCCTTGCGACCCCTGTGACCCTTGTCTTGTCAAGGCTTCTGCTTTTTCAGAGTGTGGCTGGGCCCAAAAGTTTAGAAGCTTTGCAAGAGTTTCAGGAGCTGCCAAGGCGTTTGCTGCGCAAACACTTCGCTGGAACTGTCAAAGGTTAAATGTTGAGTTTCCATTGCAAACCGGTGGAGGTTGAGTTTCCATTGGCCCTACGAAATTCAGAATCAGAGTATGAGGTGACCTCACTAGGTGAACTTTCTGGCAGGAAGTATGTTTCGCTCCACACCAGCCTAGATCACATGCTTTGAGATGTGCAAGATGCATGTGTGTCAAAGAGAATTGAACCCATGTTGTTCACCGTTGACCTCTACTTGGCTGGAATTCCAGCTATAACTGGATATATATATATATGTATAACCATAGTCATGCCGTTACATCACAACTTATATACTGTATATATATATATACATATTATAATATATATATTATTTATAGTGTCTAATCTATAACCCCAACTGCACCCCAACATGGCCTGTCTGAAACCAGTTCATCAGCTTTTTGACAGTTTGGACCGCGAAAAGCTGATGGCTGAGATACAACAGGAGCGACGTTGGATCGGTGAAGGGCCGGGAAATTCAGGCATTTCCCTGATTCAATGGGAATATCACCACAAAATATGGCCAAAAATATGGTACTAACGTACCTCCATTTTAGGATCCTGGAGATCTCCCATTGACTGATGACCAACTGATTCCGACAGGATTTTCTGCATGGTTCGGATCTGAAGCTGGGACTTCTTGCAGTGGCAGAAGTGAGTGGCTGGGCTGATTTGGCAGAGATCCTTTGGAGAAGTGGCTTGTTCTGGTTGCCTGTCCAAGATTGGTATCATAGAGATGATGACCCTTTGAATTTGTGGGCCTTTTGAGTCTGATGAGCGGGATTCTTAGCAGGTGAGTCTTGGTTTTTATCACTTTCGCCCGGCAGATATGGGATTGTCTCAAACCTTGAAACCTCAAGTGTTTCCGATTCTCATCGGAGTTTCCCCAAGAAAAAATGTCCATACATTGGACATTGAGTATCCCCATTTAGAGACAAAGCCCCTAGAATAGCACAGGAAAACAGTACAATTGATGGTTTTTACACAAAAATCCGTGGTTTCCTGTGGAATTTCCTTAACCCAAGCCTCTCTGAAGAGCATTCGCATCAGGACATCCGCCGCTAAAGCAGCTGGAAAGGCGCATTGATCGCCTGTTGCTGCGCTCCAACTTCAACTTAGCAGAAGGCCGCTAGATTGCTTGAAAGAGTTAATTTGAACGATGTTGTACTGATATTAAAACTATCAAAAGATATGCGCAACTTTCCAGTGGGGAGCTCGTTTTTGGGCGGCAGGTCTGCGAAAACGAACTCCCCAGCTGAAATTGTACCAATGATTAGCAATGATTCGTTGATTCACTCGTTTTGGGCCACTAAACTACCACGCTCCGGCACCTTCGATGAGGCTTTCTAGCGGGTTTCACGGGTACCCTATTGAGAAACCAAGCTGGGCAAACATGATCCTGATGTCCTATCCACTCCTTCATGCAGGGGTGCATGATGGTAAATGCATGTGAATCTGTGCTTCATTTTTTCAGTGTTTGGATGGAAGGGGACAGAAGAATGAGAGGAATGTCCAAGAGTCTACAACCACAAAATCCCTATTTGTGGGCTATTTGCCCGTATCTTTCAGGCATATCGTCAGACTTCCATATTGCCGAGTTGGACAACAAAAAACGCCAGATTGCGGAGCACTTCGATGAGTAGAGGCCCTGTAGAGTCTGCGTATCAACACCTGCTTTGTTTTTAAACAGATGATGGATTCCTGGATGTGGCATCAACTTGGAATATCATGCGGGTTCCCCTTTTTAACATCGAACCTGGCTGTTCCAATAGATTTCAGATGAGCTGAATTTGCACGTTTTCAGCTCCCCCTCCGAGGTGAAAAGTGGCCTTCAACTGCTGCGAGTGAGTGAAAATGATCCTGACTCTGCTCAGTCTGCAAGTACATCCATGGGATATATCCTCCGGAACCCAATGGACCGGCACCCCCAAGTCGCGAAGCTTACCAAACTTCTGGATGAATTTGATCACCAGCTGGTTGCAAGACCGTCGCTGCATTGAAAGGAATTATTGATTGGGGTGTTTCTATCCCAAATGGCTGAACTTTTGAGCTGGGCATGGGCCGGAGGAAGGGAAGATTGGTGGCCGAACTTTTCAGCCTACTGAAATAATATATTATAGTCATAGTTAATCCGGAAAGGATGGTTTGGTTTGGATGCCCTTCCCGCATTTCATTGGGGTTTTCTGTCGGCCTAGCCCTTGGAGGCCACCCGAGCCGTGCTCTCATTTCTGGCCAAGCGTGGGGGCACCTGGGTCACTATTGACCTGAGACCCATATGTTTTCCCATTGGGTCTTTCTATTTTTTTCCATGGAATTGGGATATAGTAAGAATGACCAGTTGGGGAAAACACATCATGATCTTTTTTTACAAAGGCAATTAGTGGACCGTACAGCCAATCCTCTGAATGTTTTGCATGGCCGGCTACCTGATGTCACGAATCATCTCCCGTGAGTTAGCATCATTCCTTGGGTATATAGGACAGCCCAGGTGAGATGGGTGAATTGACGTATCAACTTGGACCCACTGTTTTGATCATTGAAGTTTTGTCCAAAAATATATTGGATCATCCAGATAGAAAGTCCGTGCTCATCGATCTTTCCGAGGTCATCCATCTACTACTGATGTGCAGGACAGACTTCTTCGTAGCACTCCTGTTTTGGAGGTGGGAGTCAGCTTGGCCGACCTGGCTGACCTGGCTGACCTGTTCCCCGTGCTCTGAGGCCTTTGGGAATGCACACACCAGGCAGAATGCCAACTCCTCGCGCTTTGGAAAATTCATTGAGGCCCCAGTTGCCCACCATCTGCCCCTCGTGCCCCTCGGGCCCCTCGGGTCTCGGGGCACTGAGCTGTGCCAGGTTCACTTGGCCAAGACGGCGGAAGTCGTGGGTGCAACCTTGCGGCCCTACATGTTAGAGGCCAGTCAGCCTAACATGTCAGCAGTTTTGGCACAGTCGCAGCCTGACAGGCTTCTCGCGTCTCCGGGGATCTACCACGTGGAGAAAGAACGTGGCATGCTGAAATCACGGAATCACAAGTGAATGCCAAGGAGACTATTTTGTTTCTTTGTCAAAAGAAATTTGAAGTCTCCATTTTGATGAAGTCTTGGTTCCTGGCGGATCTGCAGGTATCACATTTTCTACCTTTTGAAAGCTGCCCTCAATACCATTGGCAACAAGGCAGGAAACCAGTTGGACATATGTCAATTGGATCCCCGAAATGGATGGTCCAGTACTACTAGAAACATCTAGAAACATCTAGAATCCCGGGGTAATTCTCACAATTCTGACCCGCACTGCTCTGGGATCAGCTAGGGATTTCGCATGATTTCGCTGCTTTTCTTGCCAGTGTTGTGTTGGATATCAGGTCAAAGCCGCTCCCGAAACGTCCGACTCCTTGACTTGGTACGATCTGGCCATATCTGGCCTAAGTCTGGCACAAACAGCTTCGATGTTGCCTTGGGCCAAGGCCTTTTTGGGACCACATCGTGCTGCAGAAATCTTGGATTGAGCTGGTTTAGGCCTTACTGTAGATGTTTTGTTGCTTCAGCCATGTATCATTCAGGGTGGGAAGATACAGATGGCAAGAAGCATGTGCTGCCATCCAAGGCGCACTTGGCTAGGGAGCTGATGCAAGCCTCTGGCAGGTGGCATTTCGTTCAGCAAATGGAAGTGGACTGATGCCACTAAACATGCCCTGAAGCCGACTGTGGATCTGCTGCAGATTGAGAGATGGTCCATCAGAAGCTGCTTGCCTGGAATGGTTCGAGGCCTCAGTCCCCATCGTTTTTTCGGTCCAAGCTACGTTTCACGTGGCATGTGGCAGGTGTTGGTGCAGGGGCTGCAAGCGACCGGCATGAAACTGCCAGACGTGGCGGAATGCTGCCGGGTGGTTGCAGCTGTGGCTCTTCTTTCAGATCCTGAGCTTGGCAGGGGCCCTAGAGGCCCTAGAGCGGATGGTCTTCATTCTTGCCATTCTTGCCCATCAACATGGGCAATGGGTACCCAGATTGTCCCAGAGTTTTAGACTTTTTAGACTCAATTTTGACGGTAAACCCGGTAAACCCGGTAAACCGCACACCGAGGTGACGACTCGCTGACAACTGCAGCCAAGCTACTGAGGGTAGAGGTGCCTGTAGCTAGAAAATGAGTTGACAAGGCTTCGGACTCGGAGTTGTTTGTATTGAAAACTGAGCCAAAGACATTTTTTGGACGTAAACGGTCTGTAACATGGGAAGCTTCATAGTTCTTTCTTTTCAGATCTTTTCAGTTCAGTTAGAGAGCTCATCACCCATCAAAAGCTAGGCGTCAGCGGGGGTCAATTTGTTCAAGCCCACGGACCCATGGACCAATGTATCCCTTCACACGGCGAGAAAAAAAGAAGTCGTCAGGTGTCGTCTCTCCAGAGCTTTCTTTGGCGAACCATGATGCCTTGGGCCTGAAAATTTGGGAGATGTCTCTGAGCATATGATAAATCCAATGAGAAATTAATATTTTCAGATATGTGTCTCATTTGGTATACTTTTGGATATACGTATATACCGTATATATATACATACGTACATACGTACATACGTACATACGTACGTACGTACGTACATACATACATACATAAATACATAACACAACATAACATAACATAACATTACATAACATAGCATTACATTACATTACATTACATTACATACATACATACATACATACATTCCTTCATACGTACACACGTACACACGTACACACGTACATACCTACATACCTACATACCTACATACCTCCATCCATCCATCCATCCATCCATCCATCCATCCATCCATCCATACATCCGTACATCCGTACATCCGTACATCCGTACATCCATCCATCCATCCATCAATCCATCAATCCATCAATCCATCAATCCATCCATCCATGCATCCATGCATCCATGCATCCATGCATCCATGCATCCATGCATCCATGCATCCATGCATAGATGCATAGATGCATAGATACATAGATACATAGATACATAGATACATATACATATACATACATATACACACATAATATAAGGGGAATCTTGATAAATCACCAGATTTTCTTTAAAGATGATGTAATTTTGGGGTATGCACCAATTTTTTCAGGGACGCCCAAATGTTTTTCTGCTTTCCGTCGACGAGGTCTGTGGGTGGAGAGCGTGTATTTCGAGAGCGAAACAAAGCAGAGGCTGGGCGGTCAAAATTTCAGACCAACCACAGATTTGGGTCGTATTTGGACCTGTAATCGAAGATGGCTAGCTGGGAAATCCCCGATGCCGGATTTCATGACTGGGGGGGGTCCAGCCAGCCATGTTTGATTGCTGGAGGATAACCCTTCTCATTGTTGTGAGTACCAACCTCAATCCAGAGCCAGGCGAGCACCCTGCGTGCCTCCCTTGCACAGGAGTTGTACGCAACTCTCTTCTCGTTGGGCCCGTATGGACAGGGTGAGCTACCCGTCGGGTGAATTATAGCAACCCCCAGAAAGATAGAGAAGTAAATCATCACTATTTTGTAGTGGGATCTTACTTTCCTATTTTTCTTGAGTTTTCTATAAGATATCAGAATCCCACGGCGAGGCCGCACGGTCAATATTATAGATGATGCTTTATGTACGTGGAAGGATCTCTCGAATAACTTTGTCTCAGGACATTTGATGTTGGTGAATCAGAGTGATTCATCCAGAGCGATGGGCCCCAACCAGATATAAATGGCGTTATGACTCCATTCCACTCCAACGCAGGTTTTCAGGAGATGAAGAGAGTAAGGGGAGGGAGATGTTTTGACATAGATGGGCATCTGTCAACCCCCCTGTACCTTAACACTAAGAGTCAGCTTGCAAATGGAAGTTCCTCCACAAAGTGGTCGAGAATAGGTATTGACCCCTGGCTCAGTTGCCGTTTCCCCAGCTCAGCAGCTTAGGTGGTTGACCCGCTTCATTGCAAAGGGAATTGCGCCTCCAGAGGCTGTTGAATTGTGAGGACTCAATCGGATTCCCGAGTTTTTGGACATACCAAAGTTTCCAAAGTCTTGAATCGTGAAGCAATTTCTCCGAGGGGAGCTGCTTTCCTCACAGTGGTGATTGCACAGTGGTGTAGCCAGGCAGAAAGCGAACGAATGCTGGGCTTGCTGGATCTGTATGGCTTTGAGGCTCCGCGTGAACACTGCAGATAAAGGATGGATCGGAGGTTTGCCAGCAATTGATGCACCAGCAGCTTTCAAGAGCCCAGCTCTTGTGGACCTGTGACATCTTGTGACGGAGCGGTTTCATAACTCGTTTCGTGTTTGACTCTGAGATTGATGTTGTGGCATAGTTCCTTCCCGGAGGTTTTCCCCAGCAATGGCTTTGAGCAATTCTTGATCAACTACTGTCCAATTCTGAGCTCAGAGGGACTTTGCAAGCCCAGATGGGACTTTGTTCCAGATTCTTTGAGCAGGCCATGGGAAAATCACCCGATTTCAAAAGGAGCTTCATTCACTAGCCATGGATGTGGCTTTACGAGGCAATGAACGATTGCAGCAGTTCTTCAATCGCCAGGTTTGCTGCAACTTAGCCAGCCATTTTTCTTAGCTAAGTTGGTGAATATAGCTACAATAACTATGGTTTATGATATTTACAGAATTATAGTTATAGAGATGGGTTTATAAACCAACTTTTGTTCCATTTTTGCTGGTATCTCCCCCCCTCGCAGAAATGCAGCGTGTCATGAACTCCTGGGGATTTGACAGCAAAACCCGTTTCTCCTGCAGCTTGTTCTGGCCTATCGTGGCCAAAAAAGCCTCAAGTGAAACCATTTCAAATACCAATGCCTGATCCGGCAGGGAAAAACCATGTTCCCAGCCATATGGCTTCCATCCGCCCATTCCCCACCGACCAAAAAATGGCCAGGTGTTTGCACGAGAAGCGGAAGAATATGCAGCTGAAGGCTGGTTCAGAAAGACCAGGATCTAAGGTGGATTCTGGGGTGGTCTACCTGTGAGACATCAAACAGATGGGGGCAACCAGATGTCGCAAGGTGCCAAGATAATTTGTTGGCATCAGCTCATCAGCTTCTTTATCAGGTGGAAGAAACCGTTTGCAGATTAAAACAGGGACTCAAGAGGTAGGTTTGTGAGCTGGTCATGCTTGGATTTGGCGTGGAGCCATTTGGATAATTTTTGGATCACTTCGACGAAGAACTCCTGGAGTCAAAGTTGCAGGGTATCAGCCTCTCTATAATATACACATACAGACGGATGCGTGTATGTATATATATATATAATATCTATATATTATATATGGCTGCGAATCAAAATGTAAAGCCCCGATCCATACCAAAACGCAGGTAATCCAGACCGTTCCATACGTTTGGATCACCGCGGGCCGATCCATACCCGAATTTTGACGCAACCCCATATATACATGTGCATCTATGTATATATATATAGAGTATGTATGTATATATATATACATATGTGTACATATGTATGTATGTATAATTTGTATAATATGTAAATGTACATGTACACGTACACGTATATGTATACTGTATATGTATATATATCGAAGGAAGTTTAGAAGTCAAACTTCCGATAATATGGACGGATTAAAAGCAGAGGTGGTAAGAGTCAAAGAAGAGAAGAGAAGAGAAAGATTAGAAGAGAGAAGAGTAGAAGAGAAAGAGTCAGAAGAAAGAAGATACAGATGCGCGAAAAGGTAGGAAAGTCGCGATTCACTGTGTTTTTCCAATGATTTGTGGCTCCGGAGGGTCGAAAAGTAGGCTCGCTAAAGCGGCGGGTGCGAGCCCGCTGGGCAGATGAGAGATGAACAATTGCACGCCGTTGTGGCGCGAAGCACATTTAAGCACACCATGTTCAGACCACTTTTGGAAGTTGAGATGTCGAAAAAGTGCACGCCGTTGTGGCGCGAAGCACATTTCGAAGTTAAAATGTGAAAAACACCAGGGATTCGGACCACTTTTGGACGTTCAGATGTCGTTTCGCGTGGCAGGCGCAAGGGATTGTGGACCTTGTCAAAAGGTAGTAAAACGTGCGGGTTTTGTGCCATTTTAATTACAACCACCACTACACTACACTCTACTACACTACACCACACTACAACTACACTACAACTACACTACAACTACGCTACACTACATTACGCTACACTACACTACGCTACAACTACACTACACTACACTGCATTCCACTACACTACACTATATTACACTACGCTACACTCCATTGCACTCGACTACACTCCACTACACTACACTCAGTTACATTACACTCAGTTACACTACATTACACTACACTACATTCCACTACACTCCACTATACTCCACTAAACTACACTCAGTTACACTACACGACACGACACTACAACTACACTACACCACACTACACTACACCACACTACACTACACTAACTACAACTACACACTACACACTACACACTACACACTGCACACTACACACTACACACTACACACTACACACTACAACTACAACTACACTACAGTACACCACGCTACACTACGCTACACTAATTACACTACGCTACACTACACTCCACTACACTACACAACACTGAATGACACTACACTACGGCTGCAGGTAGAACTACAGCTGCAACTGCAACTACACTACAGTACATGACACTACACTAATTTCATTACACTAAACTACACTACATTACACTAACTACAACTAGAGCTACAACTACACTACACTACACTACACTACACTACAACTACAACTACAACTACAACTACACTACACTACACTACACTACAACTACACTACAACTACACTACAACTACACTACAGCTACACTACACTACACTACACTACACTACGCTACGCTACGCTACGCTACACTGCAACTACACTCCAACTACACTCCAACTACACTACAACTACACTACAACTACACTACAACTACACTACAACTACAACTACAACTACACTACAACTACACTACAACTACACTACAACTACACTACAACTACACTACAACTACACTACAACTACACTACAACTACACTACAACTACACTACAACTACACTACAACTACACTACAACTACACTACAACTACACTACAACTACACAACAACTACACAACAACTACACAACAACTACACAACAACTACACACAACACACAACACACTACACACTGCACACTACAGACTACAGACTACAGACTACACACTACACACTGCACACCACACACCACACTACACCACACCACACCACACTACACTACACTCAATTACACTACACTTCACTACCCTACATTACAATACATTACATTACATTACCTTACCTTACACTACATTGATTACACCGCCACAAAGTCAGCTGCAACTACACTAAACTAATTACACTACACCACTACAACTCCACTACGCTACAACTACAACTACAGCTGCACTACACCACGCTACATCCAGCAGTTGTGGGTGAGGTGACCGACCAGGTGACCACTGCAACCATGGCAACCACTCCGAAAAACACAGCTCCAACCACCTTTCGGTCCATCAGTGGATTCGCTCTGCCATCCGTGATTCACAACAACCAATCTCTCCTATAGGCTTCCTATTTTTGAAACTTCCGCCGCCGCCTTGTGCGGTACTACTGGTATGTATATGTTTATGTATGTGTATGTGTATAATATAATATTATATGATAAAAGATTAGAAAAAATATGTGGTAGAACATTGTTTTCCACTGTAAAAGAACCTTATTAGTCGTGAGCTTGATCGCGTGGTGGGAGCAGCTTGTAGCACTAAATTTGTCGCCTTGGGTGACCCTCACAGGTTTGGACTGGTATGGTCATTGGAGCCATTGCGCAGCTGCCTGTCAGCTACCAGCCCTGGCTCTTTTGGAGGTGCTATTGAACAGCGGATGAAGGATGAAGGTATCCTTTGAAACTAGAACAGTATGAAACAGATACCTGGATTCCAACCTATTGGAAATCCAACCACTGAGATCTTCATGTGGTTGGAGACCCGGATGTTTTTGGAATCCATGGGGTGGGCCCTTCGCCATAGACGAAACCAGGGGCGTGGCAATGGCCCGGGTATCTTTCACGTGATCAACGATCGGTCCAAGTGCAACTTTGAGGACAGTCTGTTGGACAATTAAGGTTGATTCAAGAAACATTGTCCACCAAAAGCACTGGTTTCCCCATGAGAAATGATCAATAGCTTTGGTGATAGTGATCGGGGCCCCTAAGTCTAGGAAACAGCCATGTGATTGGGGTTTGGATTGGACCGTTGGACTCAGTTGATCAGCATTGATCATGTGCCCCTTTCCCATGCAGTGATTTTTTTCTTGCACTTGGCTGCGAAAGGAGACTCAGACTGGTTTGCCTGGCTTGTTGGGTTGGCCATTGGGTGCAACATGATGGTAGTATATGGTGGGGGTCAGTTAGTTCAGTGGCACTTTCCGTTTCAATGGTCACAACCAGCTGCATCCAGATTTATTCTTACAACCTGGAATATATATATTATTATATATTATTATATTATATATTATATTATATTATATTATACTATATTATATCATATTATATTATATTATACTATATTATATCATATTATATTATATTATATTATATTTTATTATATTTTATATTATTATATTATATTATATTATATTATATTATATTATATTATATCATATTATATTATATTATATCTCTATGGCAGACTCAACACACCTACGCTTAAAGTGGCATGCTTGACATTTTTTCCGGTGTGGTTTGGTGCTGGGCTAAGACTTGGAAAGGACGTCGCCCAGGAACTTCGAACAGTTTTAGAGTCTTTCAGCATCTTTCAGCAATATATATATATAATTTTTTTTGGTTACATCTTCCAGATGCCCTTAACTATCATCGAAAAACACACCCTTTGGACCCAGATAAACAGCAGTGAAACCCACCTTGCCGCTGGCGGCTCAAAGCACCTCACGCGTCCATCCGATTGCGTAACTAGTCCTTTGAGGAGCTGTCGGCATCTTGCGACAGAGCTCCTCCTTTCGCAAACACTTGGTGTATTTGGATAGAAAAGGAAGTTCAATCTCAGTGTGATCTACATTTAGTTCTGTTTTTTTTCAAATTCGAGTTGGAACAGAACACATCATTTTCTCTAAGCTTCCGAAGTGTGAGTTTGCGCACCCCATCAAACTTGACTTCGAGATGGCGGGGTGCCTTTCTCAGGAGCAATCTCTGTTTTTAAGCCTACTGTAGTGTTGATGTTTCGGATCCATCTTTTTTTGTTGCAATGACACTTAAAATTCCCACCCAGTTTGCCGAATTCCGACATTTTGCTATCAACAGTCTTTCCCACGTCATATAGAACACCAGTCGACTCGAGGCCGTTGCACAGATCTGGATATGGTGCCACCCCTGCGGGTCAGCCGGTGTGGAAGCCCATCGAGAAGGGCTGACTGGGGAACTTTCAAAGATTACCATAACTTAGTGTAGCAAACAGTCATTTTTGAAGAGACACCAGTATCATATTGTTGGTTACAGTGCTGTAATTACATATTCCAATTGATGACCGGTGATCAATCACCATCAACCCCGAAAAAGACCCCTGATAAGAAAACCCCACTAGATATGCTTGGGCGGCTTGTGCCTGTAGAGGGTACCCTTTGATTTCCCCGACCTTTGAAGTGTCGTCACTTCTTTGTGCAACTTACAGCAAGAACTGGGAAGTTGCTCCTATTCGTCCATGAGGTCAAGCCTAATCGTCCCAGGCGACTTCTGCTTGCAAGCTTTTTTCGACCCAAGAAAAAAACACTTGGTGTTTCTGTGGGTGTGGCTTAAAGTTCATGGCATCCGGCAAAACAACTGACAACAACGAATCACATCCGTTTTTAAATATTGAATTGTTACAAGAATTGTCAAAGATTGACAGTCAGTTCTTGGGGTGATATTTCCATTTTTCGTTGGCATTGATTGGCATTGATGATGGCTCATTCCTGGTTGGTGAAGCAGGTTTTGCATCCTGCCCTTGCTGTACTGTGTCCTGGTGCCTGGCACTCGGTCAAGTGAGACCTTTGCCTCACGCCCCGATGGCTGAACTCTAAAACCACTTGGATCTGAAGATCGAAGAATCTGAACCACCATTGGCGCATCGCTGATGCACCACGTGGATCCATGGCTCTAAGGCCCTGGGCCGTGTTTTGTGCAGCGCTGTGGGTCAGATCCTTCCGCCTTCGCTACTTACATCCGGGGGTGGCACACGTGGTGGAGGCCACTCTTCGATGCTTTTTTCTTATTTTGGAGCAGGTCAATTTGCAGAGAGTAACATTTGTACATTTCCTTCGATCACTTCGTAAAGGTTACGTAGAAGATGGTGGCGAATTGTCTTCACCCCCCTCAATGATGTATTGATGTACTCAATTTTAGAGAATTTACTATGAGTTAAAGGATGAACATGCCCAATATATAGATTTACCATGGTGGATAGGGGGAACAGGTTGATGGATTTCCAGATGAAAAGCACGCTTGTGCCTTGAAACCAAGCAGGGTGTGATTTGGATCCTGGCCCTGTGCTGGCCTGAGTGAACATAGCAGGCTTTGATGAAGCTGTGAGAAGGGCATTATTTTCTCCTCGCTTTTACTTGAAGATTTCTAATAATTCTCTGCTTCAGCTTGAACAAACTTGTCGCAGATGTGGGGATGGATCAACACCAGCCTGACACCAGCTATTTGGGGGCGAACATCCATTTACCAATTTTACCAGCTAGCAGCAGCTTCAGCAGCAGCTACCCATCGAGGTGCTTGCAGTTTTTTGCACTGGGCAGACAGGCGTCTGCTTCTCAGCCTCGAGATGCCTCAGCTGGGCAGCCTGCAGTTCCAAGATGTGGTGCCTGGTAACCTACAGTAACGGTAGTTAGTTAAGTGGTCTACTTAAGAAAATCAAAAAACATCTGGCTAGTTGTTTTATCATTCTACAATCTTCAAAATTTCATAAAAAATCTCTACAAGCCAGTTTGGACGTTGGCATATGGAGGTGTCCGTTTTGTTGTCATGGGGGTACCCCAAATGATCCAAGTCGATGACCATGAGCCGAGGCGTCGTATCCATGGTGAGAAGGTGGATCCTTCATGGTACCTTGGCATGACTGCGGGACAAACTGGGGTGAACCGCGGGGGTAAAAGGGTGAAATGACCATGAAATGAGTGTAATATCAGTAAACTATTAAACGATAGTAAATATGTCCATGAAAAGTGGTGATGTGTGCAAACTGATCTTGACCACCATTTTGCGATGGTGATACACTTAGCAAGGATCCAATTTGTATGCCCTTTTTTTTTGTCAGTTTTTGAGCCATAGCTGTAGATCCAAGTTGAAGTGTCTTGACCGATTAGCTTCAAGGCTCAAGCTGAATTGCATGCGAAAACTCAACAAGTTGCAGTACTCTTTTTCTCTGAAAACAATCGGTGTCTTCAGAGAGCTGACTAAGCACGCTTTTTCGATTTTTTCAGAGAAGAACATCAGATGTTCAATCAGAGTTGTCAATTCTTGTTGCTTGATGGCAATAACAGGGTTCCACTTCCTCTTTCATGAGGATCACTCCAATCCACGACTGGAATCCCAGGCAACCAGTAGAGTCCAGACTTTCGGAAGCTGCTCACTTGACCTTTCGCATCCCAACATCGGCCCATGTTTTTCCAACCTTGCTTCGAGAGTTGCAGATGCTGTGCCAACAGCAGGGAGTACCATGAGAGGGTCCGATATCACGCCAAACGTTTTGAAGCCAAATGGCCTGAGGAAGTTCTTCGCCGCTACGAGCTCCGAAGGCAAAAGGCTGACCTTTGGCAGCTACAGAAGTGCACTTTTCATGTCGCATCTTGGGTTGCAACACTTGCAACTGAAAGGATGACATGCAAATATGCGGACATCTCAGCTGTGTCGCTATTGGTGGGATGTTTGAAAGCACTGAAGGATGTGAAGCCTCTTTGTGCTCAACTTGTGGATCTGTTGAAGACGGTGCTGGAGCATAGCAGCTCCAACGCGGAAGATCCGCAGTGGAGGGTGCTCTCAAGCCACATTTTGCCCATGGTTGATGCCTCAAACAAGCCTGACATGGCTGATACGGCTGCTGTGACCAATATGGTTGCGCACCCAAAGGGGAGGGCCGAAAAGGGCACGAAGGATCTTGAGAGTGGTTTGGCGAAGGACATGAAAGCAGTACGATTGCTGCAAACAGCGGTGCAAATTTGGAGAAACGAAACATGCGAAACGAGCCAAGAAGCTTACGTTGCTTCTTTGGAAGAAACAATTCGTGACCTGAATGGCACAGATCTGAAAAGGATTCGCTGGGTCTTCCGGCGAGCAGTGGCCGCTTTGTCTCCCCCGCGTGTATCAAGCGAGCATGACCCGAACAACCCTGACAGAATGCAAGAGATTCCAGAGAAATGTGCAAGTTTTCAGCATCGGCTTCGAAAAGTGGTCCTTTGGTGTTTGGACCATTTGGACTTGACAGATGATAAGGTAAAACCTGCCCTGCAACTTTTAGAGTGTTTGCTGCAGAAATTCGAAGATCTGGTTTCGTCTCAAGAAGGCATGGTCGGCAGCAGCAAACAGTGGTTGCGTCTTCAGATGAAATCTGGCCTTTTTGCAGTCGAAGCGCACGAGAGTCCGAGCCAAGACATGACAAAGAAGCGCAAAGCGTTTCAATGTCAACATGGCGTACAAAAGCACAACTGTCGAACTTGTAACCCGTGTCCACATGGGAAAGTCCGAAGATCATGTGTTCAGTGCAGTGGATGCCCTCATGGGCAGTTAAGGTCGAATTGTGCCAAGTGCACAGGCTGTCCACATGGCAAATTTACGAGGTCGCGGTGTGTTCAGTGCTTGCCTTGCCCCCATGGGAAAGTGAAACGAAACTGTGCTGACTGTAGTGGCTGTCCACACGGCAATGTGAAGATGAACTGTGGGAAGTGCCGGGGCTGCCCACATGGAAGAGCAAGAAAAGTGAATTGCCCAGTGTGCTGTCCATGCCCCCATGGTAGCGGTAAAATTAAGCGTTATTGCAGACAATGCTCTGGTTGCGAACATGGCAAGGTAAAGCTCAATTGCCGCTTGTGCAAGGAGCAGAACAAAGCGGAGTGAGTTTCAAGCGCCCAATGGCCTAGCGGGGTACTCCACCTACTTATCCGTATGTCGAAGCTGTTACCATTGAACTTCGCACTACAAGGGAAACACGGATGTGGTTAGCTGTGGAAGTGCTTGGCTGGCCGGCCCCTTGACCGACCTGAAGGTGCGCCAATTCATGCTCCATCTTTTCCAGATCGGATCAGCGTTCGAGTATGCAAATGCAGTTGATGGAAAAAAGGCAGCGCCCATGCCAAATGCGCTTTTGCTCTAGCTTTAGGCGCAATCTATCAAGGAAAGGGAGGCTTTGTTTCCTTCTTTCGTGAACATATTCGGTATGTGTATTAGACTATTTCAGATAAAGGAACCACTGAAAGTTCTGCTCGGGCCCTTGCATTCGCTGCTTCTCCTCCCAGGTTAAACTTCGTAGCTGTGCGATGAGCTCAGAGTCATCTGAGTTTTTTCCTTTCTTGCAACAGGGTTCCAGATCTTTGGACTTTTGAACAAAGCAAATTTCATGTACTAAACTAAACCCAACAATGAACCATCCCCAATTGGGGTTCATTATTTAGGATTATTTATAACATGACCATCCCAAATTGGTTGCTGGGAGGGTTTATTGTTGGGCTTGGGCTTACCACATCAGTTTTTGTTAAAATCTCGGTGGTGAATCACCAGGGCGCTAAGCTTCTCAGTTTCACCAGGAGCGTGCTGGTGGCGCTTGTCGTGGCTATGCTTCTGGGAGAGCACAACTTCCAGGACAGCTGTGGGGCTGTGCGACGTACGAGATCTCAGCTTCACGTCGCGACGGGCGCCAGGCTAACATGGAGCCCTACTACGATGTGGTGACGTTACAGACCTACGTGGACGTCGATCCGGTGAATGCCAGGGGCGAGAACCTGATGGATGCTGGACGGTTGGTTTTCAAAGAGGCGCGGCTGTGGTGATGAACTGGGTAAATTTGGGGTGAAAGGTTGATCATGGCAAGACCATCAATTCTATAAATGAAGAAATCTATCCTGCTAAGCGTCTAAACAGAAACTCTGTTTTGCAGGGTAGCTAAGATTCGCCATTGAAATGTCACAGGTTCATTTCAACAGACATCAACTGTCGGCTCAGGGATCTTATTTGGACCTGAAGCATTCTATGGGCTACAAAGATAGCGAGACTTGGTGCGTCGCAGGCTTAGTCTGTTGGGATCTGGCAGAACTGAGGCTGTCTCAAATTGGGGACCGCAAAATTTGAGAGAAACAATTATGAGATTTTGGGGTACCAAAACTTCAGACAAAGTCAGTTCAAAAACCGTTTTTGAGTTGGGTTATTCCTGTTCATGGGGCGTCCATGTTGATCTTTGCATTGCGCTTGGATATCAGATCTCCAATTTTTGGTGCGAAATGCCCATCATTTCACGCATCATTTCCATAGTTGCCATAATATGGGGATGGATCAACATCTTGCCATATTAGTGATGAGTGGGGGATGAACATCCATAGATCCCATCGATTAACCATGTTTGATCACCTGCTTAAACCAGGCTATGGTCGGTGAAATCGTTTCACGAGGTCGCTCCCGTCACCACTCGTCATTTGGATGACAACAGCACCCAGCTGGCAGTGGTGGATTTCTGGGCGATCGGAAAGAATTGCTGCTCGGCTGCACACGGTGGTGTGATCCAAATATCAAGACCCTCAGCACCACTATTTTTGGACATTTGAAATCAAGCATTGAAGCATCCAATTCGGGGTCCATTTTGATCCATATCCAGAAATCCCATACTGTATGATTGACTATGATCATGGTTTCATGTAGACCACTGAATGCAAGGCGGGAGCTGCATGCTTGTCATGACTGATTTGGAGCTGCTGAAGTGATTGTCCCAGAATTGGCTGATGGGAGAATTTGCAGGTAACTCAGCAAGCAAAACCCTAACTAACATGTTTGTGCCAGCGGACCGAAAACCGTGCTCGTAAAACTAACTTTGAGAACGTGCAAGTACGTTAGTAACTTCTTATTTTTTAGGAACCACTTCCAATTGCGATACTAGCTTCTCTAACCACTTGCATGGGGTGGGGTGGGGTGGGATGGGGTCTGCTATCAAGGCCTTTTCTTCTAACAACTGCCGAGTGCGTTACTAACTTCTCGAGCCACTTGCATGGGATGGGGTGGGGTATTAACGTTTTTTCTACTAACAACTTCCAACTACGTTACTAACTTCTCTAACCACTTGCATGGGGTGGGGTGGCCGTGGGGAGGGTTGGGGTGGGACATTAAGGTCTTTTCTACTAACAACTTTCAAGTACGTTACTAACTTCTTAGCCACTTGCATAGGGTGGGGTGGGGTGGGGTAAGACACCTTGCAACTACGTTGTTATCTTCTTTTTCAAATTGCAACTAGTCGGCTCTTGTAACACAACTTGCAACTACGTTGTTATCTTCTCGATCAAGTTCCAACTACGTTGTTGACTTTTGTAACACAACTTGCAACTATATACGTTGTTATCTTCTCGATCAAGTTCCAACTACGTTGTTGACTTGTGTAACACAACTTGCAACTACGTTGTTATCTTCTCGATCAAGTTCCAGCTACGTTGTTGACTCTTGTAACACAACTTGCAACTGCGTTGTTATCTTCTGGATCAAGTTCCAACTACGTTGTTGACTTTTGTAACAGTTTGTCCTCCCAAAGCTGCGATTTACTGTTGTATGCAAAATCTTGGCAATGGAGGTACATAAACCGCAGTGCCAACTTGCATCAGAAGACGATTGAAGCATTGAAACGCATCTTCTGTCGAAAACAATGCCCTTTTTCAGACCCTGCAAAAACCATCCGATAAAAATGAGTTGTTACTGTGGTAAAACGCGAAAACGCCCAAATTTTGGTATCCATTTTTTGGATGTTTTTCATGAAAGGCATCCGCGTTTCGCCACAGTGCCAGAGTCATTTTTTGAAAAAACGTGCTTTTACGAGCACGGTTTCCGGTCCAGCGGGGTGTTTGTGTTTAGGGTAAAAACATATAGAAACATAGTAAAAACATGTAAAAACCATGTCAGCCCACTCCATGCATGGAGATTGGATACTCTACAGCTCCAGGCTGCTCTGGCAGCAAGGGTGGTGACTTCAAATGTGGTTCGTTGGGTGCCCAGCGCGATGCTGCCGACAGCTGGGGAAACGACCTCAGTTTTCAATGGTTTTCCTACTGGAAAATTTATGGTCTTGCTTTTTTTGGTGTCAAAAGCAGTTTTTAGATTTCCGCTATTTTTCTTTTTCAGGGACTTTCAGACTGGCATCAAGTGGATCCAGAATGCCATGGATTTCCCATGGTTCAGCAGGGAGGCACAAGATGTTCAGCTGAGGTGGTCCACACGCTTTGCACACGGTGGGTTGCGACTTCTGAACGAAGCCGAGCTCCCGTTCTATAGGCCCAGTGACTTGGGGTTGGCCCAACGGTGAAGTCAGATATGTGGATACCTTTGATCCGTATCCTAAAGCCATTCATAACCATTAATATACATTCATCAGATGAATCCCTTCGCCAGTTTTTTCCCTACCACCCAAACAGAAACGCTGGAAACATGTCTTGGATCTATGAATTGGGGGTCCAGTCATGAACATGATTCCATATGATCGCCTACAGGTTGGCAGTGCACCAAGCAGAAGCTGCTTTCAACCTCCAAGTGCCACCCTGAGATGCTTTGGACACACAATGACATCTAATTATATATATATATATCTATATATATATACGTATATAAAAGTGTAGATAATAATTGTACATATATATAATATAATTTATATCTCTATATACATACACACATTAGAACTTTTGAAAATCACCTTGGGTTTGTTGCTTCATTCTTGGACAACGGGTCCAGAGATGGCCCAGGTGCAACACCCGATCTTTCTGTACTGGATGCCGGAGCCCATCGAGGCTAGTAACGGGATGTTGGAAGTGTTGGTGTGCACTTTTGGGGGAGCATCTACTCGCCTCCCAAAAACCAGGTGTAATCCAGCCATAGATGGCACAAAGCACACGCGTTGTGCCATATTCTGTCGTTGCAGCCACAAACCAAGTGCTGACCCCCAGATCAAAAGGAAAGTCAATTGCACGGAATACTAAAGTAGTATTCGCGACCACCAGATTTACCGGGTCGCGGTTTTTCACCGAGTGCGAAGGTCGCTTTTGTGTATTTTTGTGCATATCAAGACTTTTGGCAGAGTAGATCGCACAATGCGCAATGCCACCATTGAACTCCGGGCCCAGCCATATCACGATAGTATAGCCAGTAGATGGACATGGATAGTAGTAGTACTAGTACTAGTACTAGTAGTAGTAGTAGTACTACTAGTAGTAGTAGTAGTAGTCGTCGTCGTCGTAGTAGTAGTCGTAGTAGTCGCAGTAGTCGTCATCGTCGTCGTCGTCATAGTAGTAGTAGTTGTTGCAGTAGTAGTAGTAGTCGTCGTCGTCATCGTCGTCCTCATCGTGGTAGTAGTAGTAGTAGTAGTAGTAGTAGTAGTAGTAGTAGTAGTAGTAGGTAGTAGTAGGTAGTAGTAGGTAGTAGTAGGTAGTAGTAGGTAGTAGTAGGTAGTAATAGGTAGTAGTAGGTAGTAGTAGGTAGTAGTAGGTAGTAGTAGGTAGTAGTAGGTAGTAGTAGGTAGTAGTAGGTAGTAGTAGGTAGTAGTAGGTAGTAGTAGGTAGTAGTAGGTAGTAGTAGGTAGTAGTAGGTAGTAGTAGGTAGGTAGGTAGCAGGTAGCAGGTAGTAGGTAGTAGGTAGTAGGCAGTAGGCAGTAGGTAGTAGGTAGTAGGTAGTAGGTAGTAGGTAGTAGGTAGTAGGTAGTAGGTAGTAGGTAGTAGGTAGTAGGTAGTAGGTAGTAGGTAGGTAGTAGGTAGTAGGTAGTAGGTAGTAGGTAGTAGGTAGTAGGTAGTAGGTAGTAGGTAGTAGTTTGTAGGTAGTAGTTTGTAGGTAGTAGTTTGTAGGTAGTAGTTTGTAGGTAGTAGTTTGTAGTTTGTAGTTTGTAGTTTGTAGTTTGTAGTTTGTAGTTAGTAGTTAGTAGTTAGTAGTTAGTAGTTAGTAGTTAGTAGTTAGTAAGTAGTAAGTAGTAAGTAGTAAGTAGTAAGTAGTAAGTAGTAAGTAGGAAGTAGGAAGTAAGAAGTAGGAAGTAGGAAGTAGCAAGTAGCAAGTAGCAAGTAGCAAGTAGCAAGTAGCAAGTAGCAAGTAGCAAGTAGTAGTAGTAAGTAGTAAGTAGTAAGTAGCAAGTAGTAAGTAGTAAGTAGTAAGTAGTTAGTAGTTAGTAGTTAGTAGTAAGTAGTAAGTAGTAAGTAGTAAGTAGTAAGTAGTTAGTAGTTAGTAGTAAGTAGTTAGTAGTTAGTAGTAGAAAGTAGTAGTAGTAGTAGTAGTAGTAGTAGCAGCAGCAGCAGCAGTAGTAGTAGTAGTAGTACTAGTAGTACTAGTAGTACTAGTAGTAGTAGTAGTAGTAGAAGTAGTAGAAGTAGTAAGTGTAGGAAGTGTAGGAAGTGTAGTAAGTAGTAGTAAGTAGTAGTAAGTAGTAGTAAGTAGTAGTAAGTAGTAGTAGTAAGTAGTAGTAGTAAGTAGTAGTAGTAAGTAGTAGTAGTAGTAGTAGTAGTAGTAGTAGTAGTAGTAGTAGTAGTAAGTGTAGGAAGTGTAGGAAGTGTAGTAAGTAGTAGTAAGTAGTAGTAAGTAGTAGTAAGTAGTAGTAAGTAGTAGTAGTAAGTAGTAGTAGTAAGTAGTAGTAGTAAGTAGTAGTAGTAGTAGGAGGAGGAGGAGGAGTAGTAGTAGTAGTAGTAGTAGTGGTAGAAGTAGTAGAAGTAGTAGTAGTAGTAGGAGTAGGAGTAGGAGTAGGAGTAGGAGTAGGAGTAGGAATAGTAGGAGTAGTAGTAGTAGTAGTAGGAGCAGCAGCAGCAGCAGTAGTAGTTGCAGTAGTAGTAGTAGTAGTAGTAGAAGTAGTAGTAGCAGTAGTAACACTTGCAGTAGTACTGACAAAGTAGTACGACCCTTGCACTACCTTTCGGCAATAGCGTGGTACAAGTCGAAACTACTGGTCGTACTAGTCGTAAAAGTAATAGTAGTCGTAGTAGTAGACCTAGTAATTGTATACAGGAGTCGTAGTATTGGTAGTAGTAGAGATAATAGTAGTATTCGTAGCACTCATAGCAATAATAGTAATACTAGTGCTAGTACTCGTACTCCCTCTCGTGCCTCGTGTCGTACAAGTCTAAGTTATCGTAGGCGTAGTAGACTAGCACTAGTCTAGTATTCGCATTATGGCCGACCTCCAACTGTCGCAAAATACCCCGGTTACTGTGGCAGAAAACACCGCTTACCAGCGCAGAAAACACCACCGTCGCAAAAAACACCGGTTGCCAGTGCAATAAACACCCGGGGCCGTCGCAAAAAACACCGAGGAACCGACGCAGAAAACACCGGCTCGTAACCGACGCAAAAAACACCAACCCTGGCCACAGACATAGTGCGTTATCTGGCAGAAGTTGGGGCAGCCCACAATCACGCAGATAACCATGGTGCAACGCCCTCGGTGGTTGCAGCGCAAGAGGGCCATCTCGATGTTGTACAGTTTCTGGCTGAAATTAGTGCAGCCAGATATTAAGACACAGTAACAATGGTAGGACCTGCTTGTGGGTTGCAACTCAAAATTGCCATCCCGATCGCCAGGCGGCTTGGGTTTGCTTCATAAGATGCTGATGCATTGGAGAATCGCAATGGAATGGACCATGGTGACCATGGTTTTTGTGGGGCCCTGGGCTACAACTCGGAAAACCTTGGTGATTTTGATGCATGAGGTTGGATATGGGGTGGAAAGATGAAACCAAACATGGCAACTTTTTGTTGAAGTGACAACATAATCTATGACAACAAGGAATGCGTAATCAGTAATTATCCGCTTTGTTCCGAAACTATCCCATTCTACCCTCAAGATCTTCTCAGAACCCCCAGCGGTTTCGAACTTGACCATGTTGCACGCAGGAAGTCAATGCATACAGCATCAGCGGGCACAGGCTTGGAGGGCTTAGATCAGTTGTTTGATTTGGTTTCTCTGGAAATTATGTTCGGCATCGGCATATCCTTAATTTTTTTGCCTTGATGGGTTCTCAGAAGTTCTGGTGTCTTTCCTGTGTTTGAGTTTCTGGTTTTGTGACAGGTCAGTAGATGTTGAGATGTTCATTTTTGGCGATTGTTTGATTCAGCAGGATCCTCATTCGTTTATGATATCTACGATCAAACTAGAACGTAGCAGTAGAATCC